CACTTTCGCTACTTCCCGTCGACCTGTCGAGCCATCGAGTGGAGACATGTGAATCTTGTGAAGCCGCGGAATACCAGTCAAAGTTTGTGGAGAGCACCTGTCAACTCTTGATTCATGATGAAATTCATTTTATGAGCTGTTCAATAAGCTCTCAAGATTTGATGGGTATTACCATGGTGGATCCACGAGCTTGCTTCAGCTTCACAAAAGTTCACAGGTTTCACCAGAGTGAAACTTGTGGACCGGATTTAGTGAAGCAAAAAAAGTGCAAAATGCCCCCCCCCCTTTCTTGCCACCGAATTGCGCCTATTTCCCGTTTTAATCGTGTGTCATTCATTATGATCAGAAGCATCCACTTTATGGACTCATGAGATCGTTTTCAGGTCGGTGCTCGGCTCATATCTCACGCAGGATCTCTCACCAACTTGGCAAAGTATCCAGCGTCTACAGTTCAGATTCTTGGCGCGGAAAAAGCTCTGTTCAGAGCTCTGAAAACTAGATGTGAGTGGGAACCTAGTATGGGTATGAGGCGCTACATCTCCAGTCACAGCGAGATATGTGTTGGAAGTAGGGGGACATTCGCGCAAACAAGACGAACTCATGCCCTTTAATTGTGCGGAATTTCTGTTTTTCTTTCCTCACGTTTACAGGGTATACTGTGGCGTTAGTGACCTTACACATACTTTTACGCATAATCATGGGCTCATCCAGCCCAGAGTCCACGTTTCCTGGGAAAGCTTACGCCCCGGTTCGCAGTATGTTTTTTGTACCTTTTGATGCCTTGGAGCTGCAGTCCTCTGTTTCTCTCTGGCCTTTTTCCCCGCAAGGATCGCTAAGGTACGTCACCCTAGTTCCCAAGACAACTTGCACTGCGATGGTGCTACTGGGAAGTAACGCTACATAGTCCATACCCACTTAGTACGTCTGCGAATTGGGTGGGGGTACAACTGGAATTAGTGCAAGAAATTGTTTTCCCTTTAGATCTGATGGTGTTAGCTGTTATACATTCACTTTTCAGCGGCGACACCTAAGTACGGTCTTCTGTTTCATTCTTCATTCATAGGACGAGCATCGGCAAAGAATAAAGGAAGGATTTCTCGTTTCCTTGCCAATAAATGTACAATAGCTTCCAGAATCGATTGTTTCTCGGAGGTATAGATTTACATCTTTATAGGCGGTTTTTTTGTTGTTAACTTCACATTTACTTCAAATAGTACTTAAGTAAAAAAAACCTGAAGGGCTGTTTCATTTCAAGAGCCATTTCTGGTTTTTTTACATCACTGTGCGCTGTTCGGCTTAGGAGGGCATTTTGCATCTTCTCTACTTTGCTTTTCAAGTTGGTATTACATGTTACCACTTACAGGGAGGTCGTCCAGGGCGTGGTGCGGCTTTTCAAAAACGCTTTTCTGCATATTGTAGGGGCTCATGCAAGGGGCTGAAAAGTGTGCTTCATTTTCGCTGCGCGCTTCCAGGAAAGGTAAAAAACGAGTGAAAAGAAATCTTTGGAATCTGCTTCGCTTCTGGGCCTCTATACGGCGTAGGTCACTTGCAACTTTGACCAGTTGCTGAGTGGGGGGTCCTTATAAAGGGGCTATTTGAATCGAAGCGAAAAATCGCCGCAAGTGAGCTTCCAACTTGGGTCATGTGCTCAAGGGTGAACGGCTTCTTGCAATGGCTTCATCAACGGTAACAGCGCTAGCACAGGCATCGGATGGCCTAGCGGATAGAGTGGAGGTTTCGCAATCGGACAGTGAGGGTGGGGTTGATGGTTCGACTCCCCTTGCGTCGCGGCTTTTTGCATTTTTCAGGTTTCGCTGTTCTCGCTTCCATTAGTGTCTGCGCATGAATATAACTCGGATATTTGCCATTTATGGGCACATTCCGAGTAGCTGTACCTCATGAGTCAGTGCTATTCAACTATTTCGATTTTCACGCACCATTGAACAAGATTGTTGCTGGACGCTGATCTCCAGCTACAGTGGATCTGATTGCGAATTTAGTAACTTCTGGTGTGGTGTCAATTATAGACAATTTGGGGGCCACATCTCCTTTCCACTGAATTCGTTATGTACACCAATATAGGGAACGTTCACCGCTATTCTGTCGCCAAATTGCGTGGACGCCAAGAATAGGTGTTATATTTGTGATCAGGCCACTGATTACCACTAAAAACGAATTTTCGGTCAAAACAATTGTTTTGACCTTCTTGGGTTTGCTTACTGGGTTGTCCGGGGTCCGTAGCGTCAACGATACGCATCGCTGTTACGAAGATGAGAGACTCCCCGCTCACAACTGCGTACCAAATGGTCGTCACCTAGCAACCGCGAAAAGTCTAAAAAAATTTTTCGTGCTCAAATAACCTTCTTGCTCCTAGGGGTAATCGACAGTCCTGATCACGATTCTAGACTTTATTTTCGGTTCCAGTGCCATCTGGCACCGGCATAGCGCCGAAGAGCTGAGTCTGTGCATACAAACGAATTCGAACGAAAAAGCAGTTTTGCTCCATAAAAGTAGGATTGTTCAGTTTATCGTGAATGTTTTCGTTAGGACCAATTATTTAGGCAAATATGGATCCAAAAAATGAAAAGCTTGTAGAAAAGCAAAATTTTGTCCTCGGTGGGATCCGAACCGTATCGAGCATTTTTTTTAATGTTTTTTGTTCAGCGAAGCGACGCTAGCGAAAATGAACCATCAGTTTTGAGGTCGCTCGTATGTGCCCGCCTACAGATAGCACGAGACCCTTTTGAAAGGCTTCACACGCCACTGAACGACGCTCGCCTTGTTAAGTGAATTTGTTAAAAAAAGGTTGTGTACAGGTTAAAGCGACGCTCTTGCTATTGCATATCTTCACAGCTATTCATAGGTCTAAAAGGCATCGGCAGTGATCGATGGAAACCAGCAAAATGCACTCCCTCAAGCCGAACTGCCCCTTTTCTGTGCTTGAATTTCTGGCGATAATCTAAGTAATTTTATCGTGATTCAGGTTCCTGTTTCTACATTCGGAGAATTCCTGAAAGGGCAGGTTGAGGAACGTCTGAAGTACTTCGAAACTGGTGAGGTACCACAGAAGAACCTAGATGTAATGGTGAAAGCTCAAGAAGAAGCCAAGGTTGTCCAGGAAAAGGTATTGTGCTGCAGTTGTTTTCTCCTTTTCTGAAGCAATGAATTATTATATCTGCAGGTGCTGAAAAAGAGAAAGAAGGCGGCTAAAAAGGCTAGAAAGATTCAGGAAGAAGCGCAGGCTGAGACATCCGAAACTCCAGAAGTGAGTGGGTTTTCCTTTGAGGATGAAAGCAGCTACCTCTTATTTGCTTTGGAATGTTGAACAAATTCGGGTTTCGTTTCAGAAGCCTAGAAAACGGCCGGCTGAGCCTGTTGAGGAAGAAGAGGAGGTTGTGGAGAAGCCGAAGAAGAAGAAAAAGAAGGCGAAAAAGATGGCGGAAGAGATGGAGGAGTGACTTCTTGCTGGCATTTTGTTGATTGTTTTTGAGTTTCTCATGTTGTTAACTGTTGAAAATGGTTGCTGTTGTTTGAATTTGTTGCGATAAACTGTACATAAGCCGGACACGCAGTAAAACTGTCAGGAGATTCTGTTGTTTTAATTTTTTTTTGTGCTGTTGCTTCCATGACTGGGATGAGTTTGGCTTTCGGATGTTCCAGTCTGGGAAATTTATAGCAGTAGAAAATGGCCGCGTTAGTGAAGTGAGGGGCCAAGACAATCGTGGTTTGTCACGCCGTCGCGCGCGAAGCATCGTGCGGCGGTGCGCGGCCATGTACACGAGCTGATGTACAGATTGGCGCTAAGCTCATGTGAATTCAAGTGATGGCAAGTTCCTCCGACGAGTAACTCCAATTTTTTTGGACCTTCACGTGCAAAGTTTAACAGCTGAGCAGTACAACTCGTCCTCCTCGTGGGCGGTGTCGCTCTCCATGGCAAGTGGGGTGAATTACGATTGTCTTGTCACATACAGTCTTGTTCGCCACGGTGATGAGGCGTGCCTAGGGAGAGAGGGGGGAGGGTGGTTTTGGCGTGGCGCCGGCGCATTTTTTTCGGCAAACGACAAGGCTGTATCATATCATTCGTATCAGTCGTTTTCCAAGTTGCTGTCGCTTACCCGCTTCAAGAGCTAAAGAGCTGTATAAAGGGAGGGTGGGACACCAAAACCCACCTTCCCGAGTTGCTCCATCATCCGCAGCGAACGGGCTATATAATGGGTCTACAGCTCCGTTTAACCCAGACAGGACTAACCAGGGATGTCCTTCGAGACATGAAGTGCTTCCTGAAAAGGACAATTTTTTTGCACGATGTATGGGCACATGCCTTGGCTATCAAACCAGGTTTCATTTTTTCTGAACGCGAATGGAAATATCAATATTAATAGCAAAAAGTCGCGAAAATGAAGCTTCTACGCGATGTAAGTCACTTGCAACTCTGATTAAATGATAAGTGGGAGGTGCTTCCGAAGAGAGCATTAAATCAATCTGAGAATAGAAGCAAGCGGGGTTTACTCGTGTCACATGAAGAGTG